AGTTGGTTTCAGCACAAAAGGGTCCTCTCTCAATGCGAACAGAAATGACATTGCAAATAAAAACACTGACAAATATACACACGGTGCGACATATTCCTGCTCTCAGTTACCCATGCTTAATCAATTTGCAAGCAGCATTTTTTGTTCATTCGGCTGCAAAAACAACTCTAACGAAAAACGGCAAGAATGAACGCTGACAGAACGACATATGGACGATGATAGTCCTATAAAAACCCTGAGCTTCCGAATGCCTGGAAGTAGCTTCCATGAAGCTCCCTTGCAATGGATGGTTAGGGCTAAAGCAGGGCTGAGTCTGAAAACTAAGCTCTCGATATTCAAGTCGATCTTTATCCCCATACTTACCTACGGTCATGAATTGTGGATCATCACTGAAAAACTTCGAACCCGGGTACGAGCTGCTGAAATGGGCTTTCTTAGACGAGTCGCTGACCTTATGCGTGGTCCGGAACTACAAGCTGTTGAAATGGGCTTTCTTAGACGAGTCGCTGGCCTTACGCGTCTCGACATGGTCCGGAATATATCCGGAAGAACCTTGGAATACAGCCTTTGCTTCTCCAGATTGAGAAGTCACAGCTGCGATGGCTTGGGCTTCTGCTGAAATGGGCCTTCTTAAACGGGTCGCTGGCCTTACGCGTCTCGACATGGTCCGGAATAGTGACATTCGGAAGAGCCTTGGAATACATCCTCTGTTCTCCAGATTGAGAAGTCACAGCTGCGATGGCTTGGGCATGTGTTGCGAATGCCTCCAGAAAGGAAGGCTGATCAACTACTGCTTGCCAAGTCGTCTGGAGAAAGGCCCAGGGGACGGCCAAGATTAACCTGGCGAACATATGGAAGAAGACTGTTCCAGACTCCATTTTTCCTTTGCCGAAGCTCAGACTCTGGCACAGGATCGGGAACGTTGGAAGTACTGTGTCTGACGCGTCTGCCTCCGCGACCCGAAAGGAGAAGCGGCGATGGAAGATGAAGAAGATGAAGAACTACTAATGGCAGTCAGATAAACGCATCCGCGCAAAATTCTACAACAAAATGTACTCTTCAAAAGTAGGCCTGAATCAGAAGATGCCATGCGTTTGCAAACAAGCTGTTCCCAAAGTCGCTTTGTACGAAGTTTAGAAACATCAAAAATGGTGAAGACGATATAAGAACAGAACACATTAAAGGATGAGGAATAATCTGCTTAAAACGCTTGCTAAACGTTTTACGGAATAGATCAGGCAGAACAAGATGCCTGTGTTGCGGAAGACATCAAGAACTACTCTATTCATGAAGAAACGAGATTTCAAAGACCTCAAGGGTCATAGACCAATTGCTTTCCTGTCGAAAAACTACAAAGATTCCTCTAGCATCATTTTTAATCGTATTCGAAAGAACGAAAGGCTGACTTTTGAAAAGGGGTTTTCTACCATCGATCATATACATGTCGTCCAGCAGCTGACGTAGAAGTGCAAGGAATATCAAATGCCACTTTGTTTTGCTTTAACGGACTACAGGACGAAGTTCAACTCCACAGGACTGACTGCAAGCTAAACGCCTTGCATGAACATAGCATAAAACCTGTATGGAACAGCTAAACAAATGACATAAAGCTACTCAATGAACCATGTCACAACAGTATCCATCGAAGAGTGCGCCAAAAAGATGCCATTTCACCAGCGCTCTTCATCGCAGCCTTGAAGTCACTCTTTAACCAGTGCAACTAACACAAAAGAATCAATACTGATGGAGAGCAGCTGGGGTACTTGCTATTTGCGAATAACTGCATCGTTTTTGAAGAAACGATTATGCT